CACCGAGTTTTTTTTTTTTTTTTTTTTTTTTTTTCACGGCACTAATGGCTACATCCACAATGGTACCAAGGTGAATATAGGGTTGCATATTCTAACACAAATCCTCCTTAATATCAGTTCTAGTGACACTACTGATTATAACATATTAGTACTCAAATATATCCTGATTCATCTATTGATAAGTTGTACATTCATATATAATTAATCTGTCAATTATTCCTTATCTATCCAATTTAGTTCTTTAATTAATTAAATATTCACTACGAATCTATTTCTATATATAATTATAAGAGTTAAAGACAAACTAAACAAAGTTAAAAAAACAATACTATATAAAGTTTAGGCTCCTAAATGTCTGAATTTATTTAATATATAAATAAAAAATTAGACTTTAATATACATAAATTTACATTAGATTAATGCCTTTCGCACTTTCGAAATTTTTTTTTAGTCGTGAAAACTAATTTAAAATTTGATAATGTCTGTATGAAAAATTGTATCAAAACTTGAACAGCTGCATTTAATTTGATCCTTGCTACTGCATGAATTTCCAATTACATGCAATACAAGTAAAAATATGTAAAATTAGAAACTATGTTAATGTAATGTTCTAAATATCAATATTAATATTCTTGTACTTAAAAAGATATTTATCAAAACAGTATGCAATTATTATTAAATACATCACATAGTTTTTTTTTTATTTTTATTTTAATATTTTCTAATTTATGAGAAGCCTGTTAACCTATTGGCCGAACAGATGAACTTAATTTTTTTTGTAGACCCACATAACACTTTCTCACATGACTGAGAAGATATTAAGGTTTACATACACACAAAATCTATATTTTTTAATAGTTTTCTTTTTTTATTATTAACGTAAGTGTGTAGTGTTTATAAAATATGAAAACAGTTTAATTATATGATAAGTTTTATTATTATTATTATATAATGAGTTTTCAGAATTATAATAATTCATGTCTTTAGAAATTTCTGTAGCAAGTAAGTGTTGCAGTAAATATTTAATTCAAATAATCAGAGCCTTATAAAGATGGAACCAGCATCATTTTAAAAATACTGCGGAGAAGGTGTTTACAAATTGTTAGGCTGTATGAGACCCAGAAGGCCTGTGAATATAATAAATTATCACAATTTTTATAATTTTTGATATATTTTAATTAAAATACATTTGATATTGTTATTTAAATATCATAAAATTATTTCTGTCATATGCAGTAGGGCAATGAATCCTACAGCATCCTATATTGGAATCTAGTCCGTATCTCAGCAGCTCTGTTTGGAAGTAACACTCTTTATATGAAATATTTGCTCATTTTAATATGAAAGTTATTACAGGACCATATTATAAAATTCCAGATAATGAGTAATTGATCCAAAAAATCAGAATGTTTTAAACTATTTTATATTGTAAATAGCATAAGCAGGACCAACTCGATAGGCGAGGTGATGAAATGACTGCCTCAAGCAGCAAAATGAGCAGTCAGTATTTGTTCAAAAAGAGAAAAAATGTAAAAATAATAAGCTGAATATTTTGTACAAGAAGTGCCAGTTCTAGAAGTGTTCTCTAATGTAAACTGTTCTAGAAACAGGCTGCAAAAATCAATTTTGCTTCAGGTGACAGTTACCATTGAGCCACCACTGAGCATAAAAAAAACAGCATACAAAATTTCTGGTTCTTTGAGTTTATTTGTAAATACATAATTATTACAATTTACAAATATAATTTGTATATACAGTAATCAATAGAGACAAACAAAAATCATTTTATATTAATTAAATTCTGTTTTGGATAAAATTTAATATAAAATTAATATAATATCTTTCAGAATGTATTCAAATTATATGACAAAGATTTCAGTGGATCACTGAATACAATGGAACTGAGAGCAGCACTTAATTCAGCAGGTAAGGTTTATTTCATGATTCATCAGATAAAACATCATTCTACTGTTTTCATAATGGTGTGAGTAAGATATGTAATTTGAGATAATAATAATAAAAAGTTCTATGAACTTAAACTATACTTGTCTTTTATTAATTATATCATACCATTGTATTTTACATTTTAATTCTTAAATTTAATTTTTACATATGATTGTGTCAAGTAAACATTAATAATAATTTTTATGATAAATTACTTATATAAGCACTCCCTTTATTCTTCTAGGTTATCGCCTTAATTTTCACATTCTTCAAGCACTGGTTTTGAGATATGGAAAGAAAGGGAAAATTACATTTGACGATTTCGTTATGTGCGCTGTTAAATTGAAAACAATGATAGGTAAGAATTCAATTGTTTTACACAGTTAAAAGAATGAATAACAAATGATTATAGTCATTGAATAATTATAAATAATGAATTTACATTAAACAGAAATTAGTTTAAATTATATTTTTTTTATAATGAAACAAAATATAGTAAAATTTTAAAAATACGTGACTGACGATTTTAAAGAGATGGTAGATGATTTTGACTACGATATCAACATTAAAAATAACAATAGGTTTGTTTGTCAAGCTAAGATATGCTATGCAATTTTATGTTAATTTAATATTACTCTTGACTTATAAAAATGAATGACATAAAACAGTTTTTCATAAAGCTTTTGATAAAAGATGCATAGTGATAGGAAAATCTTCTGATAAGATATACCCATACATGACTTCCTTATACTCTATTACATGCAAATTAAGATATTTGTAATTCTTACAGTTTATCTGCTTCCTCATTTTTATGAATAATATAAATATTTTAAAATTTATATTATGTATTTAATATAAATAAAAAAATAAGATTTTATCAAGTGTAATTCAGCCATACAGGATAGCTCTTATATAAGCAAATTAACAATTTTTTCCCCCATAATATGAATGTTTAGAGTTTATCATTATGTTTAGATTTATTTATATTATTATTATTATATAATAATAATATATTTTCTATTTGATTAAATGCTTGCATGGTATAAATACTTGTATCAATATAAATTATTATACAATTATTATAATTATTGCCATATGTTTAATTCTCAGTGGTATTAGCATATCAAAAGTTATTTGAGTTTGAATTTTGTTCCTGGAATGTAGATTGATGGGATAATCCCACTGAGCATAATTAATTATTAGTTAAGTATGAATAATTAGTATACTGTTCTTATTTACTTTCTAGTTAAACTATGTAAGAAATAAATTTTATTGTATTATTAGCTAGATTTATGTTTGCATAATGAAACTTTCATATTTATATATATGAAAACTACAAATTTAAACATTGTAGATATTATTTTTGTTCTTGAGAGCTGCACACAGTTTAAACAAATGAGTGAATATGGAGAAATATTGGACACATTTCTGTTGAGTGTGTTCTTGATTGTTTACTTTTATGCTTTGAAAAATAATATTAAAGTTTTCAATCATTGAAGAAATAACTTGTTAGAAATCTTACTTTAGAATAAGAAGAAAACATTTTTAAAATATTTAATTAAAAAAAACAATCTATGATTCCAATTATGCAGTATAATTACGGTTACCAGATGTCCTTTATTTCAAAGGACAATCCTTTATTTTAGCTAAATTGTCCTTGTCCGTTGTATCCTTTCTTATTTCAATAATTTGTCTTTTATTTTCATTTTTCAATGCTTGGCTTCATAATGACTTAGACTAGGATATCATATCATAGGTTAAAACTATTTGAGTTTTAGTGCCTAGATCATTTTAGGTGTCTTTTACTCCAGGTGTAGAAATCTGGCAACCTTAATTTAAGTATAATGTTTAAACTTACCTTTAAAAACACTGTTAAATTAACCAGTAAGTTCAAGTTTAAAGCATTATACTGTATTATACTACACTGTAAGAATGATAAGCTAAAGCACTTAATGGTAAATAAATTTTAAAGAGACTTTTTAATATTTTGTTCTTTAAAATTAATTTGCCATTAAAATTGAAGCAGAAATTGATGGATCTGATATCTATGGCATATAATGGATGATGTAAGATACTCTATAAAAATCTTAAATTATGTTCTATGAATAAAGAGAGAAAGGAAAGTCATTGGGAAGATAGGATGAGACTGACAGGTGCTAAGGCTTAAGATTCATTATAACAACAATCCTCCTTTATTTTAGTGTTTGAGTTTTTTCTGGAGAACTATTCCTTCATTATTATATCTATTTTTATGGTAGATATTGATGCAAATAATTTGAAAAAGCATCAAAATGATTAAATCTTGAGGACAGTTTTAAAAGTAAAATTGAAAATTGTATACACTTTCATATGTTATTTTAATGTCAAATGATATATGGATGAACATAGTTATTAATTAATTACATTTTAATGACAATAATAATGTAATAGTTTTTATTGAAGTACAATATTTAAATTATATAAGTCTAGCAGATAAAACAATTTTGTCTTATCATATTTTCCTAATAGAATTATTATTAAAGTAAAAATATATAAGATCAAACCTCTGATGAGAACTTAAGTAATGGCTGTTGTTTGGATGTGACCATTATTTGGAAGTTATTTTGTATGCATGTTTCTTCAAAAGAAAAAAGGTTCGTGAAAGAGCAGCTGCTATTGGAGATTTGACTGTATTAAAATCCACTAGTTATTAATATTAAGATAAGCTTTGATAAAATAAAAAACTAAACATTAAATAAAATTATTATTTTAATAGAAATTTTCAAGGAAAGAGATCCATTAAAAATGGGAAGAGCAACATTTACATTAGATGAGGTAAACTCTTTTTTTCTTTTAATTAATATAAAGAGCTTAATAATGTAAAAAATTATAAATAAAATTATTTTTTCAGTGGGTGGAGAAAACGATGTACAGTTAAATAAAGACTAAGTGTCGTTCAAAATTTTTATTTATTTTGTACATAATTGTAAATTGTTTTAAAATTTACGCAAATTTTTAAAAAATATAACAAATAAACTTTTAAATATTTTTATCATATCGAAATATTTATAAAGCTAAATAATAACTCTATTTTAAATAAAAACGGCATGTTATTTTTGTTTAATAGTGTATAATTCATTTAAAGAAAAGAATTGTGTAAACAGATTATGTGCTGATTTATTGTAAAAATTTGAATTTGTGGTCTTAAAATGTGAAATTTCAAACATTTATCAAATAAATATATAAAAATCAAACCTTGTTTCCATCTTTCATAATCTTTACAGAATAAATTTTTCAAACTTGCAACATTTTTTAAATAAATATTCGAATATTTCAACGCCGACCACATGACAACCACGTGTAGTATAAAAACGTAAATAAATTATCAACGCCACCTGCCAAATTTTAATCAAATTATCGAAATTAAAATAAAAATTTTAACTAATAATTACGTTATTAATTAAAATCGTAATTATTTAGATATTTAACATATAAAATATTACTATAAATAAATTATAGAGTATTAATATTTACAAATTTAAAAAAAGTATGTTAATTTTCGACGTAACATTCGTTTAACGATTATAAGAAATTTTACCTGTTTTATAGTAAACAGAAAGAAGTAACTATTAAATTATCATTATGGCGTGATTTATTTCCCAGATCGGATAATGATCGAGAAGAATGATACCAAAAAAAAAAAAAGCGGTTGTAAGAGAGAGAAAGAGAGAGCAGTGTTGACCTGACCGCCACGAGCGGGTGTGGGTGTAGTCCACAGAGCGATGACCTAAGTGATGTAGAATGGTGACATGTCGGCCAAACCACATGACAATTCCTGTCATACATCATCCACTATCTAGTCTGGTTGTCTGTGCTGTTTTCCGATAGGATGTCTGCCCCGTTGCTTGTTCCTTGGCGCCGACTCCATTAGAAGCGCTTCGATATTTCGCGAGATGGGGATGGTGTTGACATCCGCGCTCGAATATTTATTAAAGTGATGAAAATAAACTTTCAGCTTCCTCTTCAGAAAAGAAAAAAGCTTTTATCTCATTTATGATTTCTCCAATGGCGAAATTAATTGACGAGATTATTGAACCTCCGCTACCGTTTACCATTTCTCTGCGCTACTCAGAAGTGAGACAGGAAAACATTCATGACAACAACTTTTATTGCTAAACTTTTCATACTTAATTAAATAAAAACTACAAAAAAAAAAAAAAAAAATTTCTTTGAACTTATTACACATTGTACTTTAGCTCGGAGCCTCGGATACGACCAAAAAAAGCTTTATTTTGTAGTCACGCCAGTGACATTATATTTTATATTCAACCCGTAAAAAAAGTGAATATTTCAAAATGTGGGAATGAATAACATACATATATATATATATATCATCTATAAAACCCGCATATTATTTATATTTTACTGAGTTTAATTCGGTATTAACATTTTAATTCTATTTTAGAAAAATAGTATATATACAGTCGACCCCCTATAACACTGTTGATTATTCCGTTTTATATGAATTCCGTGTTGTACGAATCGCTTAGATTTTATAAATATGTGAGCCGTTTACAGCCCGGCACGCGTATTTGTAAAATCTAAGTGACTCGTACAACATGGAATTCATATAAAACGGTGTTATAGGGGGGGGTCGACTGTATTATACAAAACGTGGTGTCTGAACTTCTAAGAGTTAAAAATACTGCTTATCGATACATAAAATAATCACCCGACATTGTTGTATATAATAAGTGATAAAGCAATAATAAATATTGATGAATAAGCAAATTTTACAACACGAATCAACAGAAATGTTTTTTTTTTTTTTTTTTTATAAAATATAACTTGTTGGGGGGTGGAAGTCAATATATATATTAACAGTAGTATAACAAATTCTTTTTTTTGACACTAAAACATGTCACATAAAACAAAATCTTATGACTAAAATTACATCACGATTACGTGATGTTTTTTGTACTGCAGTGGCACTTATCGACTCGATATATTCTTTTCTTCCTATATGGTGGTACAAGTTGTGGGCAATGAAGGATTACACTAATCCATCTAGAACTGGAGGGTTGACAAAACGAACACGAACGAAAGTTATTCAGATCTTTTCTTCCTCTTATCTGTCGTGGGATGAAGAAAGAATTACATTGACCATAACAGAAGTTATTCGTAATGATTTTCGATTTACAACCTTGTTCGCTTATTTTGTGTTTAACTCTTTCCGTTCGGCACCAATCTTTCCTGAATTTTTCTGCTTTCATGATTACTATTGGATTTCCGTGTGGTTTAAGTAATGATAAACTACTATCTGTATTCTGTCTTCTCGTATGATTGCTTTGCATCTGTGTAGTACTTGTTTTACTATGTTTTCTGCAATTATTTCTACATCCTTTTCGTTTTCTTCTTCTTATTTCTTCAACTGGAACCACTATTGTTACTTTGTTTCCTTCCAATTCGATGTTACCAAAATTTTCTAAATCGGCATAGAAAGAACTTTCATCCTTGAGTGATTGATTTCTAATATCTTCTTTATTCAGAAACGATATGAATACAACATCTTGATTTCTTAGTTCTTCTCCATCCTTATCTTTACGTTTCCTGCCAGCTGTCCTCATCTGGTTGACTGTCATAACTATGAGAATGAAGAAGGTAACAATGTACCTCTGCATTGCGAATTCTGAAAATAAAAATCAAATAAAAATCAAATTGTATGGGTTAAAATCGAGCATACAAGCATATAAATTAAACATTTTCCGTTTAGTATCCTATTACATGTTTATGTAGGAACTTAACTTAAAATGCTTATCTGTAAAGATAATTTAAAAGTTCATATTATAGTATGGATCGCATATGCCAAAATACGATGTTATTTGATAGCATTTAAAAGCGGGAAGTTGTATATCACTAAAATTAATTTTTTTGAAAAAAAAAAAAGAAGAATAATACTGTACTTTAATCGCTGTATTAAATATAATTTCTTCAATTACATCATATATCAAAAAATTCTGATAACGTATGGATAAATATAATATATAAAAATAGTAACGAAATCGCTATGAAGCCAATTAGAGAGGTGGTAGCCATTTGCATGGAAATCGTCCAAATGGCCTGAATTTCCTTAGCTCTCTCTCTCTCTCCTCTTCCGTTCAAATGGTGCAGGTATCGTGCTAAGACGTGAGGTCACGATCAGCCATCCAGACTGACATTGACGCCACGATAGTCATGTGATCAGCCAAGTGGCGCCTATGGTTGATCCAAGCCAAGAAGTGTGGCTTTGCTTATCCCATTCATACCAACCCTCCCATTCACAGTTGGCGTCTGGCCAAACTGGCGCGACTGTTTGACGCTTTGCTTACGAATACCATATTCCTGGGACACTCAATTATTTTCCTTTGCGATCCGCATTGCAAAATTTACACGTAATTCGGTGGGTCGCGTTTTCACTTTTTCTTTCCCTTCTCATTCTTTTCTTTTGTTTCTATCCCCTCCATCCCTCTTTTCCTTTCTATTTAAAACAAATAAAATAAATTAATTTTAATATTCTTGCATTAAAACATTAAATGCACCATTTATAATCCATTAACAGCACTAAATTTAACTTATTTTTATGTTTTTTTTTTTTTGCACGGAAAATTAACAACTTGTCGAGCTGTAGTATATAACTTATGCATGTTTACACACATATATGTATATATATATATATATAGCCTATATATGAACCCGGAAGCGTTGTAACAATAATACAGTTGGAAATGAAGGTGTTTTTGGAAGTAGGGCCAATTAATTTTGGCAAAATTCGAAATTTCTTCCTGATGTTTCGTAAGTATATTACAACAGAGATGGATACCGGGTTTTTGGCACAAAAATATAAAAATGATGATGATGATGATATACAAAATGTAACAAATTTCGTTGGGAGTTTATTCTTAGATACATTTTTAAGTGTTATAAACAAGAAATGCATCGATTATTTTCATGATTCATATATATAAAAAAAAAAAAATCAGACCACCCGCTTTTAAAAGCATTAAAAATTACGATATAATAGGCAATTTGCGGTGTTTTAATTAAAAAATATATATATATATATAAATGATTCTGCGAAGTAAACCACTCAATACGAGTAGAAATTCTACGAAACACTTACAAATAAATAAGGAAATGATAACTCGAAACACTTTATGGCTACTGGAATTTAAGTTTTCTACAGATTGATTTTATATTCTATGGATTTTTTGAAGTATTTTTCAAAGATCAATAAGGTTTAAAATTCTATAAGGTGGTGGGTGAATTATTTATTACGTAAAATAAAACATTTTAAACGCTCACACACACATACCTATCAAGTTAAACTGGTTACAGAATAAGGCAGGATATATATATATATATATACACTGTTTTCATGTAGTAAGAGGGTGTGTTAAGGATAATGTTACACGACTTTGTTGTGAGACAATGTAAACAAAACTGAATGAATGGTTTGACTTTAGTACGATATTTCTGCTGAAGGCGGTTCTTGTAGAACGGATATCCTGTCTAGCAAATAAATCATTTTAAAGCAGCAACCTTATGTACACTGTCCACCTTATACAACTTTGCCTAGTATAGTAAAACACACTAAAAATTTACTGTATGACAAACTGTTTTTTTTTTGTTTTATCTTTGCCGAACTAACAAATATATTATACAGTAAAATGTAAACTTACAAAAGTGTAATTAAATATTATGGAGTTGTTTTTTTTTTTTATAGTTAAGGGGCATAAGAGATTTATGAGAAGCCTGTTAA